CAGATTTCCAATTCCGAGATGTTATCCATTACACCACCCGCACACCCAAGCTTACATCGACTGGTATTCACCCTAAGCGAACCCCAATCAAACTACTGGTCAGTCATGTCGTTGTTTAACTTTGGTGATCGTATGGGAACCAATGTTTCAACATGATATGACCGGAAACCGCTTGAGAGAGAGAGAGAGAGAGAGAGAGAGAGAGAGAAAGAAAGAAAGAAAGAAAGAAAGCGAAGAAAGAAATAAACATGATTATGAGGGGGAAGATAGATAGATAGATAGATAGATAGATAGATAGATAGATAGATAGATAGGAAAAAAAGAAAGAATTGCGATTAAGATTGTGAGTAGGAAAGCAAAGAAAAGGTACAAAAAAGAAAATATTTGAAAATAAATATAAGTAGCAAATTGCTAAAAAGAAAGAACAATTTAACCGAAGATAACGCTAACCAGACGCCGTACATGAGAAATTGCCTTTTCCAGGAATAAAGTTTTGTTTAGAGTCACAAATCGCCAAACCCGACCAAGTCAACCATCTTACCGCTTTACACCCGACAAAGTATCAACACATGTTTGTGGTGAGTCCGGGTGTGCAGTGAAGGGGCTTTCGATTTATACACGGGTCAAAAGTCGACTGTTTTACAAAGGCCCCTAAATCCTTCCGTGTTGATTTTAATGACTCTGACAATCGCTAAGCTGCGACACTTTTTACTTTTGCTTTTGTTAGCTTAAATATTCTGATGACTTCAAAGCGATTTAATTACTAGTTTGAAAGCAGATGATTTCATTTTCTTATGTCTAACTCGTTAACACTTGAGAATTCTGTTTAAGGTCGAACACTTGATTCTCTCAACAAAAACATCGTGTTTTAGTTATTGGAGACTGATTGTTAGTATGTAGTGGAGAAATTTCCTCCAGATGTTGCAACTGAAGTCGTTGATTTACTGGAACAAATGCCTGGGGAAAAACCTTGTAGTGCATTGAAAGATGTCATTATACGGCACACCGGCAAATCCAACTAAAGAAGACTGCATAACCTGTTTAATAATTTGACTATCGGTGACATGAGGCCATCGCAACCACTAAGGAAAAAGCAGACACTGCTCGGTAAAAATATGTCTGACACAATATTAAACTTCAGTCACAAGTGTACACAGTTGTGTGCACGCAAATCTGAAGACTGAATCATTGACTAAATTAAAATTAAATCAAAAGATAATAATTTCATGACGATGGAGCAATGGATAAGGGCTCCGATTGAGGGATCGAAGAGCCGATTTCGAATTCAATTCGAATCCATTACATTCCCTTACATGCTAATAACCTTGGGAAAGGTATGAATCCTCTTCTTCTCCCACCAGCTATGGGTAAGTTGCAGGATAGACTGGGTTCTCAAGCCTTGGATGGCAACTGGTCTACCACAGAAAGAACTGGCAAATTATTGCAGGAAAAAATCTGCCTCGTCAGTCATGTATCGAAAGATACATAATCGCCTAAGCGTGTATCACGCATGGCACATAACTGATTGACTGTATATGCTATATTATTCCTGTTTTTTTTCTTTTTGCAATATGTCGTCATTTAATTCTGGCCATATCGCCGTAGTTTTCAATAATTACAATTTTACAAGTGCAGAAATGAATTTTTCTGACTCAAAAACATATAGTTCGATGCATAGAACGTTAAAATAGCATTATTTCATCAAAATCAAGCTCAAACAAAGATTCATACCATTTCAAATGGCGGCCATCTTGATAAATGGCGGCCATTTTGGTTTTCAACATGGATAACGTATTTTTCTGAGAGAATAGGTTCTGAGGCATATGTAAACCAAATTTGGTGCTTGTACCACTAAGTGAAAGATTATTTCAGTAATCTGCTGCACAAACAGACAAACTTCACACCCATACAACAAACATTCTTGCCTCTATTCCAGACGAATTGGAGTTGAACAGATTATTGGAAATTGTAAATAAAATATGCGAAAACAGTACTCAAGAGAACAATGTATACGCTGTTTACCATAACAGACAAACAGGATAGATTGCCGCAACTAGAAAAAAATATAACAGTAGTGACTAATGATGTTTAAATACCATTTCCTCAACACTATAACCCCAAGTTAAAAGATATCAAATATCGATTTCTTACCAAATATCGATTTTCTAAGAACTTAAGAAACTTTTCAATGAATATTATTTTAATATCCACAATGAGAACGTTGTATATCGATATGACCTGCCTGTGTTCTATCATATTTGAAGAATGGACAAGAATAAAAATCGATGTTTCCTAAATTCTTTATTTTTAATATATTTAAAATTCTTTTTCTCTGTGCCGTGTTTTTTCAGTACGTGAACGATCATGGATCTTCACAACTTCCTTTCTTTTGGAACTCTCAACAATTTGTCTTTCTGTTATCTTACCTAATCCCTGTTCTACCAACGATTTACACAAATTTACTAGAAAGGTTATGCCTTCTTTTCCTCTCCTCCACGCCTTCCATATGTCCAAGTGATCGAGTATTAAATTTTCCAAGCCCTCTTTCCTCCTTATGTGGCCATGATATTTCAACTGTCTGATACTGATGTTAACTATAAGTGTCCTTTTTACTGCCATTTTCTTCAAAACCTCTTTATTTGCTCACATGTTCGGTCAAAGGTATTCTCAGCATTTTTCTGTAGAACTACATTTCTGTTGCTTCAAGTATCTTCATCATTGAGGGGAATGTCCAGCATTTACTGCCATATAGGACGACCGATATTACGTAAGAGGAAGGTACTCACTTCTTCTAAGCAAATGTTCCTGTTTATTCATAATTTGAAGGCATCTTCATAATTTGAAGGCATCTTCATATTTTGAAGACATCTTCAAACTTTGAAGTCATCTTCATACTTTGAAGACATCTTCAAACTTTGAAGGCATCTTCATAATTTGAAGGGATCTTCATACTTTGAAGGGATCTTCATACTTTGAAGGCATCTTCATAATTTGAAGGCATCTACATAATTTGAAGTCATCTTCATAATTTGAAGGCATCTTTTGCTGTTCGGATTCGCCTTCGGATTTCGGTGTCACTTTTTCCGTCATCACTTAAAACACTTCCCAGATATTTTAAATACACGGTTATTATTGAAGGGTTAAACTGTTTGTTTCTTCATTTTAATAAGAATTGTCGTCATTTAATAAAATATTCACACTACTATCCTCATCTCTTCATGTCTTGATCACATCTCAGCCGATGCAGTTTCCTTTTTTTTAAATGACTTAACAGAAAGCAAGGCCATAACAGCCATTAAGACGAAAAAGGGTTTCACAGAGTAATAGAAATAGAAAGGACAATAAAAGAACGGTTTTCAAGGAGACAGATGATGATGATTATGGTTGAATTTAAATTTTTTTAAGTTCATAGTTAACCTGAAAGAAAGAAGTTGAAAAAGAGTTCCACATGCAAGAAGTGTGATGGAAGAAACTATTAAGATAGAACTTACATTTACATTTAACAGTTGCAACAGTAAAAGTATCAGACCTCGCTACGAAACAAGAAAATAAAAGGACGAAAAGGGATTAGAGAGATTATAAGAAAAAAACGTGGGGGAATAAAAGAACGGGTTTTTAAGGAGAGACAGATGAAGAGTGGCGTTGCATAGATAGATAAATAAATAGATAGATAAGGCCAGACACACACACACACACACACACACACACACACACACACACACACACACACACATATATATATATATATATATATATATATATATGGCGATACATAGATATCAACAGACGGAAATACGTTTCAGCAGAATGATATATATATATATATGCTATATTTATGGGCTAAAGTGCTCAATATCAGGGATAGACAAACTGAAATCGATATGAACTGACTAGATAGATAGATAGATAGATAGATAGATAGATAGATATGAACAGACTGATATAGATAGATATGAATAGACTGATATCGATAGATAGATATAAACTGATGTACATAAATATATATGTATATATATGCATACATTTACACACACACACACACACATATATATATATATATAGATAGATAGATAGATAGACAGACAGACAGATATATAGATAGATAGATAGATAGATAGATAGAGAGAGAGAGAGAGAGAGAGAGAGAGAGAGATGAACAGTTTTAAGGTAAAGGTTAAGTAGGAGAGAATGAAAGCAAATCTGATCTTTGCCAAGTATAATCACATCGGATAAAAAATCGCCGGCAACGTGACCCCAAATCACCATCCATCATAAAATGGTAAGAACCATTTTTGTTGCTGGTAATTATCAAAGAACGAGTTTGTCAACTTTCATATTTGCACCATTGTTAGAAATGTAAGCGTTATTCAAACTTCTATTTTGATGTTGCCTCTTTTTTTTTTACCCGAGATTTCAGCTTATAAGTCCTTTAATGTAATAATGTTGAGGCATTTTTTGCTGTTTGTAAAAAAATCTGTTACGATGTTAGTTCAAAGAGCGGGGTATGTCGCTTGCTTCTCCCCACCTCGAGAGAGGCTGGCAAAAACTGTATAAAAAACCTCAGAAAAAAAAACATGTGCCAAACCAATATGAAATATTTATCACATATAAACACGGCTGAGCGTGTACACTAAAATATATTCACATACGTAACACACACGCGCGAGCGCGCGCGCACACACACACACACACACACACACATATATATATATATAATTATTTATTTAAAAATATGATTCCAAATTTATGCTCTACTTTTGTATCGAGCACTATTTTTAAAAAATAATAACAAAAATACTAAATCTATCTCCATCTATTTCTTTTTATTTGGCTCTTTAGAAAGCAAAGAAACCCCCCAAAAAACAAGCATGTGCGTACCTACACTCGTCCTGTTTACACATACACACACGCACACACACGTGTACCTCATGCATATATGCACAAAACTGGTTATTCTTACCTGCATATATACATTAGGTACCTCGAGGCGGTGTAATGGTTAGCAAGCATTGTCTCGCTAGAACAATTATAACTGAGTCGTGAGTTCGATCCTCACTGGGTGCCCCATACTTTCGGCCTTGTGCCACATCTGAGCTACGCTTAGAAAATCGCTGTATACATTAGGTAGAGGCTGACATGTAGGCAAAAAGGTACGTCTTCGAAATATTTGGTCATCATGTCAATAAATAATAACGTTGACATATAAGAGAGAATAAAGGTGAGCCTTTAATGGCATTTCCATCTTTTCCATGGAAAAAAAAGAAAGAAATAAAATACTCGACCTCCTTCCCCTGTGGGAAACTTGGAAACTATTTAATGGTTTTATTCTAGTAAATGAACGAGCCTCTAGTGTTTACGGCTTATTTGACATTTTGAGAAATGTTATTTAAAGTTATGTTTCGAATGTGGTCAATACCAACCGAAGGTTACTTTTGGTTTAACGACCGAATTTTGATTCCTGAAATTATTAGAAGAACGTCCAGTGTTGATCAAAGGTTAGCGATGTAATCTTGCAAACTCTTGCAAGTTAGTTTATTCCTAATATGAGAAATATTTATTTCTAATATGAGAAAGATTTATACCTAATATTAAAAAAAACAAAGATTCTCCAAGAGATTTGATGAAATCTGATTTAATTTAAACTCAAAAGCTTAATGTGTTAAATTGAACGGGTCATTTTCAGGTGTAATTTTTCACATGGTCTGTGTTTTTTTTTAGAGCAGCTACCAACGTATTCGCTTTTCGGATAATTCGAGTGGAAATCTAATTGATTTTCTTAAATAGCTATAGTTTGAATTCTTATATAATTATAGACTGAATTCTTATATAGATATAGATTGAATTGTCACTTGAAAGGAGACGTCTTTGTTGTTAGTAAACCCCCCCCCAAAAAAAAAACCCACTGTTTTGATATGAAAAATTACCAAATAAAACCGTAAATGATAGATTACTATTTACTAAGCTTAATTTAGTTTTGAAACAAGGCTTCGGGTATGGGGCACTTTGTGAGGGCCAAACTCCCTATTAATGATCTAGATGTCCAACTTGCTGACCAATATACCACAATCATAATCATCATCATCAGTCCTATGAGAGGGTCTGGTCGAAAGGTCACTGAGTAGCTGGTCAGTTCCCTTCAAATATCTGCTTATAAGACGCTCCGATGCATTAGACATCATATAATTACAATATGATTGCTTAGAATTAGACATCATATAATTACAATATGGTTACTTAATGAAGTGAAAATACCCAGCATGTACTAACGGAAGTGTAGTATTCAGTAGTATTATTCTTAAAGTGTCCACGGTGGAGTAATGGATAGCAGCTCTGATTGACGAATCGGAGAGCCGAGTTCGAATTCCAATCGAATCCATTACATTCACTTACGTGTTAATACCCTTGCGTCATATATGAATCCCCTGGGTAAATAGCAGGACAGACCGGGTTCTATAGCCTTGGATGGCAACTTGTCTAGCGCAGAGAGAAATGGCAACTTACTGCGGGTCGAAAGATACATGATCGCCTAAGCATGTATCACGTATGGCACATAACCATAAATGAATGCTACTTTGTGACCAGTAGTTTAAGAAAGAAGGAAGGTATTACTTAAGCAGGTGTAATGGTTAACAAACTTATAATTGAGTAGTGGGTGTCGCATACTTTCGGTCTTGTGTGAAAAAAGTTAGAAAATCACCATGAATGTCACTTTGTGACCAATCGTTTAAGGATGGAAGGAAGGTATTAATTTTGCAAGTGTTAATGTAGCAGGAATTTCGTTTCCTGTCAATATCCCATAAATAGCTACTCTCGAATTTTAATTTTGAAACCCTGGACTTGTTTTACTTTCAAGGAATCGGATGTAACTTGGAAGCTGGCACTCACCTCAAACCCCAAACTCATAACTCCCGTCACCGACCTTCGATTTATAGGACACAGGTTGGTTTTTGGAGATATTTTATAGAAAAAGAAATGCGATTTATAAGCAGCAAAATACGGCATGTGTAACGTGCCCTTGGCTAGTAGACCTGGCGAAGAGAAACCATTACTCTCCTGGTCAAGCCCAAACCGGTGTTCTTTGAAGGTTATCCTTGTCACAAACATGTGGTCGTTCTTTCCTTCGAAAGGGAACGTCTACTCTGGCCGTTGACTTAATTCTAGGAATCCGTGCGCCCAGCGACGCCATATTGACTGTGTCCATGTCTCTGAAACCGAGTATGCTTTATTGCGCTAAGTGACCTTTGATCCTACAACAAATGTTGTTTTTTATCCTGTTTAGTATCTAGCCACCCTTCCACCTACCTCACCAAGAAAAGCCTGGTGAGGAAAACAGTTTAGTCGCCGATGATCCAATCATGCAGCAGGTGATACTGGTTTATATGGTAGCACTAGAAGAATGGCCTGATGTAAATATCTCTATGAGACGTCCTAAAATACACAGTTTAGATTAATTTGGCTTCTGGTCTCAAAGATGGGAGACATACAGCGATGATCGAATTTACTAACTGAATAGCAAAATTAGTTCGCTAATCATTATCTCACGCCTAGCGTATGGTATGTTAAAATGGCAAAACTGAAATCTGCGTTTCAGCGAACGTAAACATATGAGTTCGATCCTTAATGAGTTTATTAGTGGTGTCGTCTTGGAACTGACTAAGCTTAGAAAATATTTACAAGGATCGCTGCTGTAAAGTAATGTTTAGCGTTGCAAACCGAATAAATCAGCTTTGAAATAAGTATTGAAATGGGATACATTTGAAAGCACATTGCGGCTAAATTTCGAATCGATTTTGCTCACATTAGTTTTAATTTAAATTATTTTAAATATAGACCAAAAAACAAAAAAAAAAAAAACACAAATAGCGCAGATGAAAATTTAATCACATCGGTCATTGAAAAATAGTTAAATCTAGCAAATCCGTTCGATAGTATAATGAATTTGTACCTTACCTGAATGATTAATATTTTAGCCTTATGTCAGACTAAGCGAAAATGTTTCTTATGTTAATTTAAAAGAAAAAAAAAAACATCTCTGAACATTGGAACAGAAACTTGCACGTCTTATCCGAATCTTTTGGGGGGAACAAAAAAAAAATAATTCTCCGCTTCATTAGGATTTCAACTAAAGTGTTCTTCGGGGAAAATTCGTAGAATAACAAAAACATCGCTCTGAACCTTTTAAATTATTTTTTATAGAAGTAGTTAATGGGGTGAGGAATGATTAAAAGCAAATATGCCCGCCATTTTGACATCGGTCCGCCATTTTGACATCTGCCTGCTATTTTGACATTTCGCTGTAAAAAAAGGATGAAAAATATTCAACATCTTTTTAAATACAAGCACACACAGAAAAAAAGAGACGAATATATATATATATATATATATATATATATATATATATATATATATATATATATGTATGTATGTATGTATGCATGCTTGTAAAAATATCCCCAGATACATTGTAATCACTTTTGCAGATGCTCAAAATCAAGTCTAAAGAAATCAACTAGTTTTATAGTGGTGGAGAATATATGACGTGGTTACATTCTGTCATGAATACTAATAGGTAAAACAGCAACTTTTTATATGGCTCAGATATGTCTTTACATATCTGAGCCATATAAAAAGTTGCTGTTTTACCTATAAATAGACCGATTTGATAGCTATGTCTTCATTTGTTTTTCCTATTTACAATATTATATGGATACTTTTTTTTAACTTGAATCAGGCTCCAAGTGACAGGACAGATAATCGAACGCATTATTTTATTAATACTTTGGTAGTTAATAATGCCAGTCTTGTAAAATACGCAATTACAAATATGAGGCATTCTGAGAATAAATATTCTATCTGATTATAATAACTTGAAAATTAAACACACGAAAAAAATTATTGGCAGTTATGAAGGTAAGCGTTATTGACAGAGGATATTCATTAATATTGATTCCAAACTTTTTCAGAGCAAATTTACTGATATTTTTCACCACGAGAAGCAGGAAATATCGTTGTGAGACGAGTGACAGCAAGTTTTCGAAAATTTCTAGCCATGTTGTCTGAAAATTCTATTTGATTTCTTTAGTTTTAACTATTTCAGAATTACTGGCTATAATTCAGCAGCTTTTTCAAGAGTCTTTGGGTCTGTTTCCTTGGGTTCAATGATTATGAGCATCGATCAAACGGAAATCTTTTTCAGGTCTCGGCCTTGGAATTTTTGTTTGTTTTACTTTATTTTCTTTCCAGTTTAAGAGAAAGGAAAACTCTGA